TAGAAAATAAAATCATGAAATATATGGGAAATTTAATATCCTTTCTAGAAATGTAATTAAGGAAGACAATAACGAAGCGTTAAAGTCTCGTTAACTTCAAGGATAGTTGATTTGAATTAAATCTTCATGATCGCCAAAGTTTATATGCCTAAATTGAATATACTACTTTAAATCCAATAAATAAATAACCTAAATTTATCAAAAAAAATAATGAAAATATCAATTATAAATCTCTTACTCTATTTCCTAAATTTCTTTTTTCGATCTCTTCTTGCATGTCGTATAGAATTGAATCGATATTTCTTAAAAAATTTCGCGTTAATGCAGAATTCGGACCAAACTGATGACCTAGAGAATTTTTAAAATATTATAGATACTTGAAAAATTATCACATTCTATATTTTCAATTATAAAAAGTATATTAACCAAGAGCATCTATTGGTTCATAATATACAAAACCCAGTCTGGAAGTATTAGAATGAAAATGATCCAAAATACGGAATATTGCTGTTTTTGTATCTCTGTTGACACGTGTCCACCAGCTGAAAAGAGATCTGAAATTCTTACAATAGCTTGCAGTTAAACCCTGGATAGGAACTTCGCACCCTACCCAATTATACATGTATGTTTTAATGGAGTTTTTCTCTGCTGTGATCCATAACGGTTCTGCATCATTCCACCAATGTTCTTTAAACACACCTTTATCGGGGGCCATTAAAAAGTAGTCGTTATATTTCTCGTCGAAAATAAAATTATCCACGATTCCGTGACTTTCAGCGTAAAGCCCTGAAATGACAATAAGCTTGTAAACATTGAATTTTTAGACTTTCGAAGATTGATTTTTTTTAGTTTCATCGAAAAAATTTTAATGTAATTCGTCGTATGAATAAAACATAAGCATACCTGTTGCGATAGAATACCAATTCGGATAGGAATTTGAAGGAAAAACAGGTCTGACGTATTCCGCTTTGACGCCATTTCGAGATAATCTGGTGAATCCTTTCAAGTTTTCTTCGTTGACATAATCCCATCGAATTCCGTCTAACAAGATAATCAATAAACATTGATCCTTATCACTTTCCACATTTCGACCGTAACAAAATGCGTGATAGAAAACAAGATATATCGCGCTCGGTATAAACAATTTAAATAATTTGACGCTGGAATTCATTATATTAATCCAGTTCAATCCATTTGATCATTTTTAAAATCTAGAATAAAAATAATCATAAAATATTTTTATAAACATTGTCCCGAATACTATAAACATGAGTTATAATCAAGAAGTTAATACTTTAAATATTTATAAATTATAAATAATCATTTTGAGAAATAATTAAAACTTCTATTCATTTAACGGATTAGCTTTTAAATAATACTTACAGGATGAGCGTAATTAGATGAAACTTAATTCAAGATTGTGGTTGACGCATCAAATGCAAGTGAATCACTTTAAATGAATGTCAGACGTGCGCTCGTTGAGAATGAAAAGCGAGTTCTGTCACTAAATACCGGAAGAAGATTGTATTGATTAACAAAAATTACATTGAAAAAATTTTACCGTTTTAAATCCAAGTGTTTTTTTTTACAGAATGATTACTGTTTACTTAATGCGTATCGTACAGTACAAATAGTCACGTGTCTCGGGCGCAAACTGCTCTAGTAGCGATGCCATTGACCTTAACTTTACCCTTGTTTTACTTGACTGCTCTGCTATTGTATCTAACATGTGTTCGCCTTGTTCTTTCCACTTAGTTAAAATAGAGACATTTTTTTAAAGAATAAATTTAAATATTTCTCATTTCATACTATGAATAAAGATAAAATTATGATATTAAAAATTTGTGAAATAACACATATTCCGTGTTACTTGATTAATATAAATTTCGTTATTTAAACTATTATGTTTCGTTGTTAACCATATTGGAAAAAGTTAATTAGAAAAATTTACATATGTCATTAAAGTAAGTTACAATTGCAATTAATTTAAAATTAATCACGTATTTTCAATCCCAAAATTACATTTATCAAAGATCAATCATTTAACTTTTTGATCAACTAATCTATAATATATTAATTTTGTATTCATAATTAAACGAGAATATCATCTTACATTAAAATTTGCATCCTTACAACTTTAATGGGACTCTTCTTCACTTGCAGATATTCTTTACATTTATTCGAAATTCTATATGTTAGATAACAAATATTTCTGGCATATTATTGATTTAAAAATTATATTAAATGATAATCGTAAAACTGAATTATTAATGTGTTTAGGTAAAGTTAATAATGTCGTGCAGTTTCTTTCCTTTTTTCTTTCATATAGTCCTTAAGCCAGTTTGTTGCCAAACATCTTTCCATCTTTCCTTTGAACTATTTCAACTTATCTTTAAATTTGTTTTATTAATCAAGCAGTTAAAAATACAAAAATTCCAGGTGATATACATTGTGCTGTATTTAATCTTACATAATGCATACATATAATACATAATAAATAACAGTTTTGGATAATTTTGTATGGCCACATTGCAAGAGATGCAAATATCTATTAGTATGGCATATTAAAATGCTAAAGTAAAAACTATATAAAGAGTTACTACCTGATTTTACCAAATATTGATTCATGATTTAACTTTCCCGGCAACATTTGGTGAAAAAAGTTTTTTAAATAAAATATTACAACACATGGCGCTACACACGCAGTTTTAAATGTTGCCGGGAAAGTTAAGCAACTCGTTTCTGGATTTTTTATTTAAAAACAAATTTGATTGATTTGGTAACATTATTTTTTCGTTTTGTAATAGAAAATGAGGAAATGGTACTAAATAAATTCCCGAAAAACGCAAAAAAAAATAATAAAATCTGTTTAAAACTTAAATTATATAAAACAGATTTTTTAAAAATCTCATTGGTTAGCTATAAACGGATATTACATCAAAAAATTTATAAGTTGAGATGCATATCTAATTTTATTATTGAATTATAATATTTTATGATTTACCCCCTAATAAAAACGGTATATAGCAATTCTTATATTTTATTTATTTAATTCATATTATTAAAAATCTAATTGAATGAAACATTTATGTAAAGACATGTCTTAAATAAAAGAATTATCTAAATGCTTTACCTGTAAAAGTTCGAATGCAGAATAATTTTGCTTTATATTTTTACATCAATGTGTCTGTCAAATCAATTTTCATGTTTTAAGCTAATGCAAAGTAATTCTAATTATTTATATGAGACATAATATTATGAATTAGATGAGACATAATAATTTCCAGGCAAAATATCCGAGTCACAATATAAGAGCAGAGTCCTAGAATTCAGAATTCTGTGAATAAGATTTCGTAGTAGATCTAGCTAATTATATCGTAAGAGAAAATAGAATAGATTAGTTTAAATTAGTATTTTTCAGAAAAATACGGACATAAAATGCATTATTTCAGACAACGGCATTAATTTAAATAATCACATATAGGTCTGTAATAAGTTCACAACATGATATATTTGTTGTACTATAAATCAATTACATAGATACTACAAGTGAGGTTAGTACAATTATGGAACGAAAGTTCAGGACAATAATAACTTCAGTGAAATAAACTATTTCAGTGTTATGACGATATTCGTGATTATAGAAAATCTTATTCACCAATAATTTCGTATGATATTAATAGGGTGGCCATTTAAAAATTTACAAGAAAGAGGGTACACGGGTCCATCAAAAAGGGATTTTTCCCCGTGCCAGAAGAAAACTTAGAGGCCCATAGTGATTCCTTTACTTATTAATTTTTTTATTAACAAAATTAAAATCTTTGCGGCTGGTTTTTACTAATAAAGAAACATTCTACATATTTCATTTGTTCAAAAAGAAATAAATAAAAGACAAAAGAGGCCCGCCGATTATAGAAAATCTTAACCTTTGGGCTTCCATAAAAGCTTTCGCAGGCCCTGATTCCAAACCCTATAAAATTAACGTTATTTTTACTAACAGGAACTAAAATCTTTAATTTTTTTTGTTATTACGTATTATTAATAAAGAAACATTCTTTGTATTTCATTTCTTCAAAAACGGAATGGCTGAAGGACCCACTAAGACGCAAAAGGGGCGATTTGAAAAATAATTTAAAATCGCTTATCTTCATCCTTTCTACATTTCGATGTTCTAATACATTATTTAGTAATTTTTCTTAATTAATTTCAATGGAGGGAATATTTTCAGATCATTTAAATTTTTTAAAGTTTGACTTGTACTATATATTATAATATATATATATGTTACAGTTAAAACCCGATTTTAGTTAAAACCCGTTTTAACTAGTTAAAACTAGTTTTTACTGGATGCCTTTGTTAAAACTAGAATTTACTGCTAGTCAAAAATGAATTTCAGTTAAAACTAGTTTTAACTAGACAAAACGGGTTTTAACTAAATGGCTTAGTAAAAACTATTTGGACCGAAATCAAAGTTCATTCAGCTAACACATGTGTGATACACGGTATCACACAACAGTCTGCAAGGACCGCTCACGCTGTCGTTTCGGATGGCTTTTTATCGAGTGGCAAGGGAAGTGAGCAAGTCAGCAGGCGTCCTTTCAAAGACAGGAGACAGGTTTAACGAATAAACAAAGCATTTATTGAATAACTAAAGTTANATATAAAAATGTAATATTAATAATAAAATATTTAAAATTATTCATTTCGACAGTAATAAGATGTCGAAATAATTCCTTAAAAATCTATTCCGAAGACGAATTTCGAATTCGGTATAAATTTTCTAAATATGGATTTGTTCATATTTTAAATCGTATTGGCAACGAAATTAAATAACGAAATAGAAAAGGATTGTCATTAATTGCCGAACAATGATTTTGACGGCCTTAAGCTTTCGGAATATAGCTGACGACCATTTCTGACGTCACGAAGAAATAATCCGATTGGCCGAACGACTCCTAAAACAGGGGAGTAATAGCGAAGTAAGTAAGAGCCAATGTAAACGTCGTTTAATGTAAACTCTGTCTCTGCAATCGGCCGTATGTGTTATGTACTGTACCAGTATAAGAAGCAAAGAGAAGCTGAGGTAGAATATTCGTTTGTTCTGTTTTATTCCGAGACAGTTTAAGGTGTTTATTATTTATAAATGATTGATTTTTAAATAAACTCTCTTATACAGTATTTAAATGCTGTCATCTACGACTGATGAAAGAGCATAACTTAGATTAAATTAGAAAATTTAAAATGTTTGTTATATTTTTATATCATAACGGGCTTGGATGCGCAAATGCCAGCTAACGTTATGTGTTTATAATTATAACGTACGGTAAATATAACGTAAGATACGTTGTGCGCAAACTCTATATTATCACGCCTAAAAGCCTTAGGTAGAGTACTTTTATCATGTAAAATGACACAATTCTACGTCTATTGGATTCCCGCCAGAGATCGAATGTGTTATCAACTTATATTTAAATGTTAGTCATTTAGAATTTTTAAATTCTTTCCTTATAAAATTAACATTCTTTTACTTATGCTGCTATCAAAGCAAAGCAGCCGTACACACAGTTCTGTATGTTAACTGCTTTAGATTTGCACTCAGCTCTGTTGCTGGTTTTGAGATTAATCTGCTATTGTATTCTTTTGTCTTTGATTTATTTGTACGTGTTCTGTGAGTTTAGTCTGTTGGAATCCTATTTATAGACTTTGCGCTCATTATGGATTCAATGACCTATTTCCGAGTGGACTCACTTTTTTCAGGATTGCTTTTTCGTGCATTCTGAATTTGTCTAGGCCAAACTCCGTTTGGTTGTTAGTGGAATAATTGTGTATAACTCGTAGTGGACGATTTAACTGTGTTTCTGTGGATTTGTAGAATGCTATATTATTCATTTTCTGTACATGAGATGAGTTAATATATATTGTGTTTATGATGAATCCCTGTTTATTGTTGTTTAACCTAGTTGACAGTGGTTTCAAGGCTACTCAGTACCAGAGTGGACTTTAGAGAACTTCCCTGGAAAATGCTTTATGTGTAATTAATTTGTTTTGGTATAAGTCTGTGTTGTGAAGCCTAAGATATAGTATTGTTTTCTATTTTGCATTGTGCGTTCTAGAAATGTAATGTATTCAATAATGAGTGTGGGATAATGTCAAATGCCGTTCTATAATCTATGCGTGCTACGCATAAGTTTAATGCGCAGGTTATGAAAATGACTAACTGTTCTTTGCATCCCATATGGTTTCTATGACAACCTTTTGTTTTTTGAAAATGTTGTCATTCTGTCTGATATTTTCTTTGTGATGCGTGAAGTAGAACTTTTGTAGTTTAGGAAGTCATATGATTGGTCTGTATTGTATAGGGGCTCTGGCGTTGTCGTTGTTGGTTTTCACATATAATATATATGATGTCTTTAATGTTCTTATATATGCATTTCAATTCTAACACTTTCTTCAGTATGATTTACATATTAAATACTGTACATCCGTATGATGTACTTAATAAGACAATTCTTCTACAAAAAAAAAAAATACAAAAAACAAAATTAAAAGATATTACAATAAATTAAAATTAAGATTAAAATCCGACAGTACAGCGAACTTACAATTATCGGTTTGCAAATTTTTTGCGTTCAAAATTCACTTTCACGAGTCATAATACCATATATAATTAAATAGCATTCTGGGGTATATTTATACCCGTATTTAAATTAATAAAATTTATATTTTTATTTCTTAATTTTCTTTTATAATAAAATGTTCTTTAATTTAACTTTTTTACTATCTCTCATATAATAAATATAATAATAAATAATAAAATTTTAGTATAATGCTATTATTTTAGTATTTTAATTATTTCATTATTAGTATTTAACTTTTTATTATTATAGTATTATTCTAGTAATTTTATACTTCAATTGTAGATGGTGTTACTAGTGAAAGGAAACTTTGAATGTGCGAGACTTGTAAACCGATAATTATGAGTTCGCTGTACTGTCGATTTTATTCTCAATTTTACTTATCTGCATTTTACTTTGGATGATGAAGTTAAAGCTGATATAAAGGAAAGCATAAGCAATTTGGCCTGGAGTGACCTATCTCAGACGTTGAACTACATAATCTCTTTATCAGCGATACCACAAAATAGCTCGATTTTCACGATTACTTTGTGGACAGAACCTGCTGTTATACAAAGCAATTGTTTACAAATTACAAATCGTTTGACTGTTATAGTTACATAGTAGGTGAAAGAGTACACGAAATATGGTGGTACGCAGTAAAACACGTGGTATGGCATACTAAAAAAGGAAAATACAGTCTGGATAAAGATTAAAAACGTTTCATCGTCATGATGATGGTGGGCGACGCTATATTTAGAGCAGTTCTACTCTTACTTTTGGAAAAGTAAGAGAACTGCTCTAAATATAGATAGTTTGATTTAGAACTGGAACTGTTTGAACTAATTCGAGTGAGGAACTGTTAATCTAGACCAGGGATCGCAAACTCAAACGCAGCAAAGGGCCAGTCGAATAGATGTATACCAGACCGTATTCGTTATTATTCGGTAAATCAAAACATTCTATAAACTAAAAAAAGGCTCTAATCTAACAAAGGCCCTTTTGTTATCAGGCTTTTACAACATACGTAAACAGAAGTTTGAATTTTTTCTGTGTTAATATCCGCAATATGTTAGAAACATTGATTTTTCGAAAAGAAATAATCAAGGCCACGGGTCGGATACAAATTTTTACGGGCGATATCCGGCCCGCGGGCCGCCAGTTTGCGACCTCTGATCTATATAGTTTCTTGGAACAGTTTAGTCTGCCTCGTCGGTTTATATATATAATAGAATGTTTGTCTGTCTGTTCTTAGCTTTTTGTCCGATTCCCACCAAATTTTTCATACTTTTTCTCTGGAACTCTGAGGAAGATATAAATTTTAAAAATTTTGCATTAGGTCGCCATGCTGAGAATCATGGGTTTGTCCAAAACTATATGTATGATGAGAAAAGTGGCGAATATTTCCTAATGGCACCAAATAAAAATGCATCCCATCCACACTGGTGGAATTACACAGAACCTCTGTGGATAANTACAATTAATTAAAAAAAAAAAATATGGAACATGTTCAAAAATTATTTTAAAATCTATGGAACAATCTAAGCACATGTAGACAACTTTTATCCATGGCGATAGAACTATATCAATACCATAAACAGTGAATAATACGATATAAATAATGTTAAATAATAACTCAGTGAACCAATATAATGAACTGGTAGAAAATTCAATGCATCAAAAACAGGTTTGAAGAGTTAATGAAATATTTTCATGCTGCAGATAATAAAGAAAAAGGTTGCTAATTGCTGGTGTTACCCATTTTAAAGACTGGACTCTTAAGGTTCTTGAGTGTGAAGTATACATTCCAGTAATTCTGTAAGAATTACTGGAATGTATACTTCACACTCAAGAACCTTAAGAATTGTTTTAATGCCATGAATAATAGTGGATGGTTTCAAGAATTGGTCAAAAGTGGGATTTGAATCAGCTGCAGACAAATTCATTTCTTCCAGAATATTCTAAATTATTTAATAAATATTAATTTAATTATAATTATTAAGTTTAATAAGAGATGATAACTAACACCTACCTCCAGTGCCAAATTATTTAGAATTTAATTATTAACAGCAGAGAAAAATAGTCTGATTAATTATGCTGGTCATTTGGCTTTGATTAATAACATCAAGCTTAGAGATGTTTAGAGAATCAAGCAAACAGAACAATGTCGATCAGCAGCAGATTAGCAACAGAACAATGCCAACTGTAAATTTTAACAAAAAATAATAAATACTATTTTTTGTACTGAGATTTGATTTTTATGTCTCTTAAAATTAATTATTTTATAAACAATTTCTTAAATTTAAGCTCAAAAATAAGTAAATATAGAAATTATATTTAGATAGTTTTTGAATTTACACTGATAATAGAAATTATGATTTAAAACAAAAGAAGAATCAAAATATTTGCAACCATTGGGACAAGAGTTGTTCAGGAATTATTCTATTATGTGAGTTGATAAGTTTGAACCCAATGTGGATATTCTTTAGTGCTATATCCCACTTGATTCTGGAATTTGTAACATTGTAACGAGTATCTAGAAATAACCTCAAGACAGTTGGGCAATTATAGTATATATGAATGAATCATTCTTGAAGTTTTCAAATGCTTATTTATGGTATGTATCCATTAATGAAAATAATTATAAAATATTTATTTATTTTCTTTAAAAAATAAAAACACATTAAAAAATATATCTAAATCAATCACAAGGAATGATTATGCTGTAAATATTGCACAAACTTCTTGAATAAATTCAGAAATTTTTAGATATTCTGTAATTTACAATNCCCGAATTTGGTAAATTAGTTACTAATGCCAGATTACGTCTAATCTTAGAATGGTGGAACGCAAAATCAGTAATCCTGTATTAGTGATAGTTGTTAATCCTGCGATTTGCCTAATCGTCTGTTGGTGAAATAGGGGGTAAGTGCAGTTATTCTTAGCGACTCATATAGACAGCAAGGTACTTCACTACTCTACCAGTCACGTAAGGTATAAGCAAGGAAGGTGTAAGCAGAGTATTCTGGAGTAGCCAGCCGAATTCGCTATTACATTGTGCGTGTATTAGAATGAAAAGCGAGTTCCGTATCGCATCTTAGTAAGAAATTCAATTTTGCATTATCAAACACGAAAAACCCAGGACTCGAGTATAATGAGGCCCTTCTTGGTCCTCGACTCCGAACTCGAATAACGAAAACTCTGACTTGTCCAGCCTTAAATTAGGACATTACAACTACAGTATTCAGTTTGAAAAGTTTGCATTTGGCGTCATTGACCAAGCAAGCAAAAATGGCAATTCGTTTACTATTTATTTATATATCGTTTACTATTATTATGTATAAAACAAAATACAGTAGAGCGTCGATTTTCCGAATCAATTGGGGACTGGGGTTGTCCGGATAACTGATATTTCGGATAACTGATTTACGTACGAAAGAATAGTTTAACGTATCTGATGTCGAAATTTTTATCCGTTGCGTGTCGCTTCGCGTTGAATTTTCGTCGATGTTAAGCCTAACAAAAACTATTGGATCGTTAAAAAGTATTTTTTTATTTTGTACAGACAAAATGAATATATTGAAAAATATAAAAACAATAAAAAATTTTACTTCAGATGCTAATTTAGTATCAAAAACGTAAAATATTTGAGTAGCCCAAGACATAGCCAAAGATTGAAGCGCCACAGCACTGGCGAAAATTTAAATTTGCCGACTGGAATTCTTTCGGATGATTGACTTTCGGAAAATCGACGCTCTACTGTATTACGATTTTAATGTTTAAAATTATTATTTGTATAATTTTCATACCAACTATTTTTTACGATTTGTAAAAATTGTAATAAAATTAGAGAGGAACTAGTAAAAATGCATTTTTGAGTATACGGAATTATTTTTCAAACGCTAGATGTCGTGACCTCATGCGAACTTTCGTCACGCTCGCACACGTTACCTGATGTTTATATACCTGTTGACAGTTGGAGGATGTGGATGTGCCGATTCGCAGTCCTTTTTTACGCATTATTAACAGTGTCATCGCGTTTTACGGATGGAAAGAAGAAATCTTGCCTTATAATAATACTTGTAGATGGAGTCAGATGGAATTATTTAGACGAAAACATTACTTATACAGGGTTTCGCCAAATAGCAGATAATGGTGTGAAAGCTGAATATGTTACACCCATCTTTCCATCAAATTCTTACCCGAATTGGTATACAATTGTAACAGGTAACACTTATAAACATTATATTTAATGATCAGAAATTTTAAATATATTTTTTACACTTAAATAACAAATTGATTTTTTTTAAAAAAGTGTATGAAACTTCTCAGGAAACCTAAAAGTACCCGTTTATCTGCCTTTATATTAAAATAGTTATGAAATGTAGTTCTTTCACTAATAATAAACTAGTAAAACCTGAAATATGATTAATAGAAACACAAATAATTTATTACAATAAAAACAGAATAACAAATGTAATGTTACCAAGAATTTTACCCCATTGACTACATTGGGTTGCAAAATCATCTGCAACTGAAACTATGGATAAAAATTAATTGTAATTTTTTATTTATTATTTAGTTATTAAATGAGTAGTTCTGCAATAGAATATACTTATACAACTATATCATTATTGTCTTTTGGGACACTTTATGAGATAATGCATATATATATATATATACAGTCATTCCTCTACATTTGCAGGGGATTAGGGTGCAGAATCCTAAAATTGTGAAATTGTGGGAAACTGCAAATATCTATAGGCTCCTAAACCTTAACTCTTAACACTATTGACTGTATTTAACACAAAAATGTAAAACAATGCATTCTGGCTGTAACGATATATTTTATAATATTAAAATTACAGTATCAACAATTTATGCTAGCATATCCACATGCGTGCACAAACACACACACAGAGGAGAGAGAATACAGTATTTAGATAGCAATAAAATTATTAAACTTTATAAAATACAATTATGTACAGTACTGTGTTTTATAAAGTTTATTAATAAAAGAAACATGTAGTACAATGCACACAGAGACAAAACGAGTGATGCTCTTTAGTAATCATACAGTGTGCATATAGCATTCCCAAACATAATGCATAGTTCATTAGCACACTGAAACTTTATGAAAAATTTGTGTGTATGATTTCAATAGTAAATGATAAAATAGATTAATATTACATACATTTCATGCATTTATGACTTAGTTTTTAATTTTCCTTACATTTTGTAGTTTACATGTGTCATCTACAATTTTCCACAGTTGGTCACAAGACTCCAGAAAATTCCCATTTAATTGTTGATGACAAATTTGCAAATAATCAAATGAGCAAAAATTGAGATTTGATTGTATAACATAATTAACTTATAACAAGTAATGGACTGATAAAAAGAATAATTTTTACTATATAAACATATATTGTAAAATATCTTATCTCAATATTTGTTTAAGATTATTTATATTTTTTCATGAAAATATTTTCTAGTTTACTTCGAAGACCAAACCTTAGACAAGGAAATCTACTTTTCCATATTCCAAATAGTCTCTCTAATGTGTTTCTAGTTTTAATATGAGCAGCATTATATTTTACTTCTGTATTTGTTGTTGGGTTTAAAAGTGGTGTCATCAANTATTTCATTGAATGATATTTTTTAATGTTAAAACAACAATTAAAATTACTTATATTTCAAATTAAAATATATTATTTTTATTCTTAACCTATTTTAATAAATTTTAAAAATTTTGCATTAGGTCGCCATGCTGAGAATCATGGGTTTGTCCAAAACTATATGTATGATGAGAAAAATGGCGAATATTTCCTAATGGCACCAAATAAAAATGCATTCCATCCACACTGGTGGAATTACACAGAACCTCTGTGGATAACAGCTGAGAAGAATGGAATCAGAGTGGGTTCCTACTGGTGGGATGGCTGTCAAGTGGAAATTGATGGCATCAAAGCATCCTTGTGCAAACCATACATACCCTACTCAGATTGGATAAACATGAAAGACAATGAAAAGGAGATATTTAATGATATTCTGGATAAATGTAAAAATAATGAGCAGCAATTATCATTAATTTATTATGAAGCAGTAGATGCCACAGGTAAATAAGTCGCATTTTCTAATGAACTTTCAAAAGTGCAATTTTTCTTTTGATTTTAGGACACAAATATGGACCAGATACTAAAGAAAGAAGGCAAGCTTTACAAAGTATAGATTCAGACATAAATAGATTACAAGAAGAAATAGTTAAAAAAGATTTACTCACTAAGGTTTGTAAAATTTTTCTATTCAGATTTGAAAATTATATATATATATATACACACCATTACAATAGAATTTTGAAAAATTTTCTAATAATTTCAGAAAACTGAAAAAATTTTTTCTGATACTGAAATAAAATTTAGTGGTATTACTTTATTGAAACATACTAGTTTTCTTAAATATACATAAACTTGAAAATATTTAATAATGTAATTTATGTCTATATATTTGTATATATTTATTGTAAACTATGTAAACTGCTTTTTATTGTTAGAATGTGTGTTTCTATGGCAATTGTGTTCAATTCAAATTTTTCTTACAACTTAAAAATTATTATAAATTTAACAGATTGTTCTGAGATTCAATTCACTTACATTTGAGAAAATAAATTACTCTGATGCTATAGTCTAGATTAAAACTGACAGTTTTTTTATTTCCTCTGCATCATTTTTGATAGCTAGTCTTACATTTAATGAACTAGATAATGATGAAAACTTATACAAGGAAACTCTAAAAGATTCAGACTATTATAATACATTTATGCATGTATTTCAAAAATGCAGAAACGTTTTTAATGTAACTTCAAAAAATAAATAAGATTTGGTATTACTATGATATGCTTCTTGTCTAGTCTTTGTATTAGCTTGTAAGCACTAAATTGGCCTTTCTCAATTGCTATCTGATATCCTGTGGTGATGTAATAAGTTTAGCAATAGAGAAAGGCCAATTTAGTTAGTGCTTACAAAACTAAGAGTTGATATTGCCAGCATAGATGATTTATCACTAATTGCAGTCCTGTTTTCTTTTTTATTTTTCTAGAAAATTTATAAAATTTTGTTCAGATGTTTTGGTATAAATGTTGGTCAAACAACTATACAATATGACATTAGTTTACTGTTTTAAAGGATTCAAATTTGAATCAAACTTTGATTTCATTCATGGAGTGTGATTTGAGACATTATTCATTTTTTGTCCATATTAGCAAATGCCATTGCAGGTCAGGTCCACTTATAATAGACATACAGTAATTGAGACTAGTCATAATGTGTTGGGTCTCATGTTAACAAATCAATCAAGCTATCATTTTCAGAAAAAATATGTTATTTAAAGCAATTTGCAAAGTCTGTTAACTCTTAACTGTCATTTTGCTGTATTTACATTGCATGCGTGTGTGTGTGCTTGTATATTTTTTACAAGTTTCCAGCTGTCTTTTACATGATAAAGTAAGTTTCAAAAAATAATTATTCATTTTTATTTGTTAATGAACTTTGTGGTTCAATAAAAGTAACTTAAATTATAATTCCAAATACAAGATGCTTCATACCACTCAGACATTCCTGATAATTTGAATCCCCATATTGAACTGCTTTAAAATTCCAGAGAAAAAAAACTATTTTACATATGAAAAAATATATTAATCATGCCATAATGGGGTCTCTCAGACTATGATAAATTTTAAACTCACAAAAATGGAAAACTAAAATCTAGAAATAATAAGCATGTACTAAAAAAGTATTAACTTTATTCTGGTGACAAATCCTACAATAAGAATATTGAGCACTGTGTGATTTCACTTTAGCCCTTAACTGTGATTGTGCAAATATTATTACAATGAATTTGAATTTAGATAAAGACACATTAATTTTCAAACTAAATTTAATGTGAAAAATAATGCCTTAAAATTGCACCTTTACACTTATTAATAATTAAATTGTTTCATTTATTTATTACATTAGAATTTAGTTAGTATGCTATCAGTTTATTTTTAATTCTAAAGTGATAGAGAAGTTGAAATATAAACTGATTATTACTGAATGTTTTTCATATTTTCTATCAAGCATAATTGCTACCAACTTCAATAGTTACAGTGCACTCTCCTAAACAATATTCCTTGCAATATATGGAATTTTTAATGTCCATGACAAATTCATTAACGTAAAATTTTCAGAAAATTTTCATTTACATTATTTTAGAACAGTATTCTCATGCAAGTTGTGAAATAATATAAATTGAAATATTGACAGATTGGCCAAAATTTCTCAAATCTATTTCTTCCAATAATTTAAAAAAATTCACTTTGTGTTAATGTTCATGACCATGGTTACATTAAACAATCATTAAATAGAAGACACCTGACATCATAATTTCTTCTTATATTACTTAAAATAAACCAAGTTTATATAAACACTATCAGTATTTTTAAATCAGCATATAAGAGAGTATAAAATTCCATCTTTGTTAAATTCTTATGTAATAGAATATACTTAAAAATTATAACTGTAATTTAACAAAAGTTAGTCTTTCCATGCTTTGATATTTATTATTTTGAATGACATTTTATATTTCAAACTTTTAAATGATGATATTTTCATTTTTAATAAATCTGTCATTTTCATAAAGGTAAATTTAGTCATTGTATCAGATCATGGAATGTCTGACACAAATCCTACAAAAGTTACCTACATAAATATAGACAGAGTGATTAAATTAGACGATATTGAGATGATGTTGGATAAGGGTTCCCTTTCCATGATTAAACCAAAAGAGAATAAATTAGATGAGGTAAATATCAATATTGCAAAATATGTTAAATATATAATGATTAATAATGAAATTTTCTGATTATTAAATATATTTAGATAATAAATGATTTTAAAAAAGCCAATATTCCTGGTCTTCATGTGTTTAAGAAAGAAGATATTCCAAACCACTATCATTTCAAAAATCATAATTTAGTGCTTCCAATTTTATTAATGGCTGATGAAGGATATTACATAAATCCAGTAGGTGAACTTATCAAATTTAAAATCACAAACAAATATTGCATACAAGTATAAATGTATTATTATTTTTATAGATAAATGATACATTGAAAATGATACCATCATCCCTCAAAGAATATTTAGGATTTCATGGTTATGATCCATATAGAAAAGACAAAACTGACATGAGAGGAATTTTTTATGCTAGAGGACCAAGTAAGTATTTTATTATTTATTATTTAATTGTTTCCAAGACTAAAAAATATTTGTGAATAAAAAAATATTCTTCTTTCAGACTTTAAATCGAAATTTGTCAACCCACCAGTTCAAATGACTGATCATTATAATATATTTTGTCATATTTTGGGAATTGAACCTATACCTAATAATGGATCTTGGGACAGAGTTAAAGACATGATATACAATAATGGATATTCAGCTTCAAATAATCCTTTATTAATTTTGTTGACTATAGGAGGCATAATGTTTATATATAATTTGCTGTAATAATCAAAGCTGTAATTAATTGGACTGTTTTTCACTACTATTAATAATTACATAAAGTAATTTGACACTAGATGTAGGCATTAGGTGCCATCTCTTATTAAATTTAATAATTATAATTAAATTAATATTTATTAAATAATTTAGAATATTCTGGAAGAAAAAAATTAGTCCAGATTGGTACTCAAATCTTCAATCCCACTTACTGTATGGATGCATTGCCAATTATGCTACTCAGACCTGTGTGTGACTTTTTGCTTTCAGACATTTAATTTTGGATATAACCATCCATGGTGGGTGTAATATAAACATTCTAGGCCATGGGTATAGGAGTTGTTCCCAGTTAACGCCATGAATAATACTTCACACTCAAGAACCTTAAGAGTCCAGTAATAACACTTTAATGGAAACTAACATTTTTGACTGTACCTCGGTCTTCTCAGGTTTTTAAAACCAGTAAGATTTGAACTTGGAATGCAAAGAACAATATTTACAAATTATTAAAAAAAAAAAATATGGAACATGTTCAAAAATTATTTTAAAATCTATGGAACAATCTAAGCACATGTAGACAACTTTTATCCATGGCGATAGAACTATATCAATACCATAAACAGTGAATAATACGATATAAATAATGTTAAATAATAACTCAGTGAACCAATATAATGAACTGGTAGAAAATTCAATGCATCAAAAACAGGTTTGAAGAGTTAATGAAATATTTTCATGCTGCAGATAATAAAGAAAAAGGTTGCTAATTGCTGGTGTTACCCATTTTAAAGACTGGACTCTTAAGGTTCTTGAGTGTGAAGTATACATTCCAGTAATTCTGTAAGAATTACTGGAATGTATACTTCACACTCAAGAACCTTAAGAATTGTTTTAATGCCATGAATAATAGTGGATGGTTTCAAGAATTGGTCAAAAGTGGGATTTGAATCAGCTGCAGACAAATTCATTTCTTCCAGAATATTCTAAATTATTTAATAAATATTAATTTAATTATAGTTATTAAATTTAATAAGAGATGATAACTAACACCTACCTCCAGTGCCAAATTATTTAGAATTTAATTATTAACAGCAGAGAAAAATAGTCTGATTAATTATGCTGGTCATTTGGCTTTGATTAATAACATCAAGCTTAGAGATGTTTAGAGAATCAAGCAAACAGAACAATGTCGATCAGCAGCAGATTAGCAACAGAACAATGCCAACTGTAAATTTTAACAAAAAATAATAAATACTATTTTTTGTACTGAGATTTGATTTTTATGTCTCTTAAAATTAATTATTTTATAAACAATTTCTTAAATTTAAGCTCAAAAATAAGTAAATATAGAAATTATATTTAGATAGTTTTTGAATTTACACTGATAATAGAAATTATGATTTAAAACAAAAGAAGAATCAAAATATTTGCAACCATTGGGACAAGAGTTGTTCAGGAATTATTCTATTATGTGAGTTGATAAGTTTGAACCCAATGTGGATATTCTTTAGTGCTATATCCCACTTGATTCTGGAATTTGTAACATTGTAACGAGTATCTAGAAATAACCTCAAGACAGTTGGGCAATTATAGTATATATGAATGAATCATTCTTGAAGTTTTCAAATGCTTATTTATGGTATGTATCCATTAATGAAAATAATTATAAAATATTTATTTATTTTCTTTAAAAAATAAAAACACATTAAAAAATATATCTAAATCAATCACAAGGAATGATTATGCTGTAAATATTGCACAAACTTCTTGAATAAATTCAGAAATTTTTAGATATTCTGTAATTTACAATTGTACAGCTGGAAGAAGTTTTCCACTACAAGAACCAAATCCAATTCGAAAATTATTGGCTTGGCAATAGCCTGGAAAAAGAAACACAAATATGAAATATATCCTTAAAATAAATAAACCTAAAATTAATATATTGTAATTATATTATTTATGAACCATTTATGAAGTAATAAATGTTCTTTGAATGAAAAGTTTTTTCTCCAAACTTAATTTTTTATGATATACAGTAGAACCTCGATTATCCGGACCTCTATTATCCGGATTTTCGATTATCCAGATTGTTCAAAATAAAAATTTTACGAATTTGATGATTTGCACTTGGCGAATTACGACACTGTTTATGTACGTGATGGAATGCATAACATTTTTTGTTTCAACAGCGTCTCACCCGGCACAGTGGTCGTAAACTCTTAAATATATTTTGCGTCATAATAAAAATATAACTTGACATACGTATTTATAAATAATTTATATTCAAATTACATCATTTCTATGACCAAGGGCGGCGTAAGGCATGGACAACATGGGCCACCGCCTACGCCTCGCGGTCCGAAGAGCCTCACACCGCGAAGGTTTATGCATTATTACTTAAAAGCCGAGAACGCAACGAAAAAATTTTACTCGTTATAAAACGATAGTTTGTCAAATTTTTATTCATAAAAATGCAGTTTCAACTGATTTTTATTTTATAAAATCCTCCTTCTTGTGCCATCAGAGGGCCTTTTAAACAATAGCTAGTCTGTTAGCGCTGGTCAGTAGTAGTACAAATTCCATACGAACGTTTGTTTCTTGAAAATTTGATCGCGATTTGAATACAGTGTTTATTTTTAATATTACCGATAAGTCATCGAAAAGAAAACGTGTTGTATTATCATTAAAAGACAAAGTATTTGTTTCGATTATCCGGATTTTTCCTTATCCGGACTACCTTCATCCCCAATTAGTCCGGATAATCGAGGTTCTACTGTACTTGAATTATTTGTTTTAAATGTATTTTAATTGTTTTAATAAATAAAAAACAAACATGCAGAAAAAGCTTGAGATGATCAATCAAAAAGGAATATTGCAAAAAGTAGTATGATAAATTTGATGATGCTGTAAGTTGGTGCTGTCTAACTGACTTGTTGCATGTCATTAATTCCCAATCTGTAGTGTCAGTTCACTATTATTGTTTTATTTTTAATCTTTATTAGTACAAAGGGTGGAAGCCCTGTTATTCTGGGGCTAAATAATTACAATTATTTTTAAAAAATATGTGTTTTACAAACAATAAATCAAAAATTTACATCAATAATTAATTTATTACAAATTCTTAAATTTTGTCTATTATTTACTGTACAGTACATCTTCCTTCACAATTTTAATTACAAAGTTTTAAAGAAGGAACTGTACAATTTGTATGAGTTTATTTAAGTTTTCTCTAAAGTCTTGAGTTGAGCACATTATTATTATTTTAATTAAGGCATTTCCAATTATTATGACACTTGTACACTACAAAATTTTTACAGTGGAAAGTTTTAAAGAACAGTTATCAAAAATTATGGTAATGGCTTATGTGAGAATATTCCAAATCATCTGCACCTATAAAGGTTAGTAATGTTTAACTTTTTATTAAATAACAGTTCTTGGAGTCTGTATGTAATAAAAAAGAAAAATAGAGCTGTACTAAATAAAGTTATCTGAGAAAAGATTCTTATTGTGCTTGAATGTCTAGAAAAAGGAATTCTGCAAAATCTTTAAGGCTGGAAAATATATATATATTTAATGATTCTGTTCACACAAGAAAAAAAAATATACAAGTCTTAAAGATTTTGCAGAATTCCTTTTCTAGATGTATATATATTAAATTTCAGCCTTTGGTGCATACTTTTATTTATTTATAGTTTTAAATGTTATGAATACTAAATAAATGCTCAAGTTTTTAATGTTTCTAGCAATGAATAGCATGGTTTGCAATGTCACTGAGTCTAATTTGTGATGCTGTCAATTCCTGAGTACCCTTTTCATTTTCATTTGATCATTTGACATAAGCTTAATAACATTAAAATAAGTAAAAAAGTTGATTTTTTATGTTAATTTATTCTTAATATGTTATTGAATTTACTATATAGCTCCTTTGTAATGTCTAATGATAAGTTCAAAATACTTTATACACTATGGATCAATTGTCCACTATCATTATCCATTGTAGTATAATTTATGGTTGATTGTTAACCATAGTTCAAAATATCAAGCAACATATTTTATATCATGGTATTTTATTCATAATTTTAGAAATATTATATAATAAAAATGTTTTTAAATTGAAAGTTTAATCCTTTCTTTAAATGTAATTTTATATTTTCAGATCATTTTATATAACATTTTTAACAGACAATTGTAAATTAGTATTAGATAATTATACAACTATTCCTTATGATATTAATGATATAACACAGGACACAGTACTATGGTAGAATCTGATGATGGGAGCTAATATCCTGAAAAATGTTTATGAAAAATGAAATGTTGGACTCCTTAAAAAAATTTTTTAGTGTCAGTGCTCTTCTGTTGAATTCAACAACTGATTTAAGAATTGTTACTCAAAGTAATTTGTTTTTTTAACAAAATATTGGAAATAAAATATTTGAAAATTAAAATGTTCTTGATTCAAATAAAATATTCCCAACACATTTGCAATGACATTTGCAAAATTTATAATTAATAAAATTATAAATTTTAAAAATTCTTTCTTTACTTATAACTGAGAGAATAAATCTAAAATTTCTACCTGTTATGATAACTTCATCTCCATCTTTAAGAAAAGTTCTAGTTTGTCCATCTGCCAAAGTAATGGGTTTGCTACCTCGCCAAGTCAGTTCTAACAGTGAGCCATATGAATCAGGAGTCTAAACACAAAATCTCATTAATTAAAGATTTGAATTATAATTTTAGTTGAGAAATGTTTTACTTACTGGGCCACTAATTGTGCCTGATGCCATTAAATCTCCTGTGTTAAGATTACATCCTGTTATTGTATGATGTGCCAATTGTTGTTTCATTGTCCAATACATATACTAAAATTGTTATTAATTATAAGAATATTGTGATAAGAAATTTAAAGAATTATTTAACTATGATTTAATAAAATTCATCTATGATCCTAAAAAAAGAAAACGTATAAATTTATTAACTATATTAAATTTGAATGATTGAGTTATTAGAATGAGAATTATGAAATCTAATTCTATCTAATCCTATGGGTCCAAATTTAGTTGGACCCATAGGATTAGATTTCAGCTCTCATATCATTCACACACAGACTTTAGTAAATCATATAGCAACCTAATCAAACAATTTATCTATACAAGATCTTATTCAATAATCAATGTAGCAAGAATATCCCTCTCTCATTTTCTTCATATTTCTTCATTCTGTTCTCTAATAGTCTTGTACAAAAGATTGAATCACTTTTTTAGGATCATCATCAACTTAATTATAATTAATAACATATTTTAATGATTACTAAATTACTTAATTGATTAGTTATGCATATTTATAATGTCAAATATTTAATCACTAATTGTTGATAATTTAGAATCTAAATAATCAAACTAAATTAAGTCTAAAGTAACCAAAGCTATTATTTTTCACATAACAATGAAATCTAAATGTGACTGAAAATATCTGAAATTACTAAAAGTAAAAATTTTCACTTAAATATGAAATTTAATTTATTATTTTATTAAAAAAATATCTGAAACTTTATTCAAATTTAACATTTAAAGCAAGCTCTCAAATGAATAATTTTTCATCTTTAACAATATAAGTTCTAATATTAGTTCAATAAATTTAAAATACTGTATTTCATATTCATAATAGCCTTTGAATGAATTATATTGAAATTTTTAAGTAATGCTATTATTGGTTATAAAAGATTTTTGGATCTAAAAGAACTTGTTTATACATTGTATAGGTGAATTTGTTATAATTTATTAATATTGTAATATTAATATAAAAGCACTTTTCCCCACAAAATGTTTTTTAGTATTGATGTATCCTTTTCTATCATTCATAATAGTAAAGAAGATACAAAATAAAGTTTGTCATTTTACATTTCTCAAAATNCACTATCATTATCCATTGTAGTATAATTTATGGTTGATTGTTAACCATAGTTCAAAATATCAAGCAACATATTTTATATCATGGTATTTTATTCATAATTTTAGAAATATTATATAATAAAAATGTTTTTAAATTGAAAGTTTAATCCTTTCTTTAAATGTAATTTTATATTTTCAGATCATTTTATATAACATTTTTAACAGACAATTGTAAATTAGTATTAGATAATTATACAACTATTCCTTATGATATTAATGATATAACACAGGACACAGTACTATGGTAGAATCTGATGATGGGAGCTAATATCCTGAAAAATGTTTATGAAAAATGAAATGTTGGACTCCTTAAAAAAATTTTTTAGTGTCAGTGCTCTTCTGTTGAATTCAACAACTGATTTAAGAATTGTTACTCAAAGTAATTTGTTTTTTTAACAAAATATTGGAAATAAAATATTTGAAAATTAAAATGTTCTTGATTCAAATAAAATATTCCCAACACATTTGCAATGACATTTGCAAAATTTATAATTAATAAAATTATAAATTTTAAAAATTCTTTCTTTACTTATAACTGAGAGAATAAATCTAAAATTTCTACCTGTTATGATAACTTCATCTCCATCTTTAAGAAAAGTTCTAGTTTGTCCATCTGCCAAAGTAATGGGTTTGCTACCTCGCCAAGTCAGTTCTAACAGTGAGCCATATGAATCAGGAGTCTAAACACAAAATCTCATTAATTAAAGATTTGAATTATAATTTTAGTTGAGAAATGTTTTACTTACTGGGCCACTAATTGTGCCTGATGCCATTAAATCTCCTGTGTTAAGATTACATCCTGTTATTGTATGATGTGCCAATTGTTGTTTCATTGTCCAATACATATACTAAAATTGTTATTAATTATAAGAATATTGTGATAAGAAATTTAAAGAATTATTTAACTATGATTTAATAAAATTCATCTATGATCCTAAAAAAAGAAAACGTATAAATTTATTAACTATATTAAATTTGAATGATTGAGTTATTAGAATGAGAATTATGAAATCTAATTCTATCTAATCCTATGGGTCCAACTAAATTATCTAATCCTATGGGTCCAAATTTAGTTGGACCCATAGGATTAGATTTCAGCTCTCATATCATTCACACACAGACTTTAGTAAATCATATAGCAACCTAATCAAACAATTTATCTATACAAGATCTTATTCAATAATCAATGTAGCAAGAATATCCCTCTCTCATTTTCTTCATATTTCTTCATTCTGTTCTCTAATAGTCTTGTACAAAAGATTGAATCACTTTTTTAGGATCATCATCAACTTAATTATAATTAATAACATATTTTAATGATTACTAAATTACTTAATTGATTAGTTATGCATATTTATAATGTCAAATATTTAATCACTAATTGTTGATAATTTAGAATCTAAATAATCAAACTAAATTAAGTCTAAAGTAACCAAAGCTATTATTTTTCACATAACAATGAAATCTAAATGTGACTGAAAATATCTGAAATTACTAAAAGTAAAAATTTTCACTTAAATATGAAATTTAATTTATTATTTTATTAAAAAAATATCTGAAACTTTATTCAAATTTAACATTTAAAGCAAGCTCTCAAATGAATAATTTTTCATCTTTAACAATATAAGTTCTAATATTAGTTCAATAAATTTAAAATACTGTATTTCATATTCATAATAGCCTTTGAATGAATTATATTGAAATTTTTAAGTAATGCTATTATTGGTTATAAAAGATTTTTGGATCTAAAAGAACTTGTTTATACATTGTATAGGTGAATTTGTTATAATTTATTAATATTGTAATATTAATATAAAAGCACTTTTCCCCACAAAATGTTTTTTAGTATTGATGTATCCTTTTCTATCATTCATAATAGTAAAGAAGATACAAAATAAAGTTTGTCATTTTACATTTCTCAAAATATATTTGTTCGTTTGTTTTGTTAAGTTATGGCAATGCAACACTTGGGCAATCTGCCTAGGGAAATGCCTTCCGGGAGGTCTTTTTAAGGGAAACTGGCCCCTATTTAGGTGTTACAGACGTGGTGAAAACCAGAAAACTCCATGTCCAGGCCGTCTGAGTGAGGCACGAACCCACAACCGAACTCCCAGTTTTCAGGGTACAAAGACTGCTTGGCCACTGATGGGCTCTCAAAATATGTATTTTATTTTGATCTTCAAGATCTTCCTCAGTGCAATATTTTATATTTTAAGAAATATATTTCCTTTCCTGTGGCAGAAATATATACCAATAGGAAAATATATTTTTGAGTAAAATTATATACAAGAGTATTAAATATAATAATGCTTATATTACAGAGTATTTTTGTATCCTTTCTTTTTACACCCAATTCCATCAATATCAATAAACAAATTTAAGGTGTTAAAAGATCAAGAGCTGAAATATATTTAAATATGATAAAACAATGAGATGAATTTAGTGTCTAGAAACATCATATCACATAATTTTGAACAAAAGAACAAATTAATGTTATTATTATTGATGATTTGAAAACTATTCCTCAAACTATCAGTCTGCTGTTTTGTAAAAAGTTGTACTAATATTTTATGGTATAATGCTTTTATACATGAAATTCAACTCATTGTGTTATCATATTTAAATATTTAGACTTCTTAAACTTTTATAGAGAATACCACCTTGATGGCAATCTTGCATGACAAATGCTCTCAGGGAAATTGCTAATAGGGAGATCACTACACTACAATAACAAATCATAAAGTCAATCCATAAAACAAAAGCAGGACTGATGTTATGCTCAATTGCAGTGTATTTAATAGTTTCAAAAATAGGTACACCTTCAATATCAAAACAAGCACAATTTCCTTCACATCCAGGACTTTCTCAATTTGGAAAACTAAACTGTGTAAAGCAGTCTCACATGGTTTACCAGAATGATAAGCAAACTGAAGAGAATGTAGAGAAAACAAATGTCCCTAAGATGCCTATCTATAACAAGACAATGGCTAATAAATCTGCACCACAGATTGCAAAGCCACCCATCACTACAAGGGTGGAGACAAGGCAAGGACATATTATTCACTTGTGGATTTATTATTCAGTTGTAGTATTTCATAAGTTAATGCTATTATGATAACTTATGTATGATAATGACACATTTTAAAATTTAATAATTTTAATTATTTATGTGAAATTTTAAATATAAAACTATTTATTTGCCGAAATATGATGACAATTCTGTGTGGAAAATGATATTTTAATACTAAAAGTAATAAATCATTTAATGTTTATTGAATATTCTTAATTTAACATTTAAATCTAATTAAATTCCAGCTATATTTTTAACAGAAATTGTTCAGATTTTTATGAAATTATGAAAATGAATTATATTGAATGGAAAAGTAGATTGCATTATTTATTTTATATTTATATAAAAATCACATAATATGTCTGATTGTTCATTTTATCATATTTTTAAGTATAGCATTTATTGTTGTATTGCAAAATTACTTTTTTACAATTGACAGTTAAATCTTCATATGTGTTTTTATGTAGAATCAGAATAAAATTCAAAACAAAGTTATTAATTTTCCTATTAGTTTATATCAAGTACTGCAAATGATTTCACATTANAACTAAATTTAATATGAAAAATAATGCCTTAAAATTGCACCTTTACACTTATTAATAATTAAATTGTTTCATTTATTTATTACATTAGAATTTAGTTAGTATGCTATCAGTTTATTTTTAATTCTAAAGTGATAGAGAAGTTGAAATATAAACTGATTATTACTGAATGTTTTTCATATTTTCTATCAAGCATAATTGCTACCAACTTCAATAGTTACAGTGCACTCTCCTAAACAATATTCCTTGCAATATATGGAATTTTTAATGTCCATGACAAATTCATTAACGTAAAATTTTCAGAAAATTTTCATTTACATTATTTTAGAACAGTATTCTCATGCAAGTTGTGAAATAATATAAATTGAAATATTGACAGATTGGCCAAAATTTCTCAAATCTATTTCTTCCAATAATTTAAAAAAATTCACTTTGTGTTAATGTTCATGACCATGGTTACATTAAACAATCATTAAATAGAAGACACCTGACATCATAATTTCTTCTTATATTACTTAAAATAAACCAAGTTTATATAAACACTATCAGTATTTTTAAATCAGCATATAAAATTCAGTATTTAATCATATTATATCAGTATAAAATTCCATCTTTGTTAAATTCTTATGTAATAGAATATACTTAAAAATTATAACTGTAATTTAACAAAAGTTAGTCTTTCCATGCTTTGATATTTATTATTTTGAATGACATTTTATATTTCAAACTTTTAAATGATGATATTTTCATTTTTAATAAATCTGTCATTTTCATAAAGGTAAATTTAGTCATTGTATCAGATCATGGAATGTCTGACACAAATCCTACAAAAGTTACCTACATAAATATAGACAGAGTGATTAAATTAGACGATATTGAGATGATGTTGGATAAGGGTTCCCTTTCCATGATTAAACCAAAAGAGAATAAATTAGATGAGGTAAATATCAATATTGCAAAATATGTTAAATATATAATGATTAATAATGAAATTTTCTGATTATTAAATATATTTAGATAATAAATGATTTTAAAAAAGCCAATATTCCTGGTCTTCATGTGTTTAAGAAAGAAGATATTCCAAACCACTATCATTTCAAAAATCATAATTTAGTGCTTCCAATTTTATTAATGGCTGATGAAGGATATTACATAAATCCAGTAGGTGAACTTATCAAATTTAAAATCACAAACAAATATTGCATACAAGTATAAATGTATTATTATTTTTATAGATAAATGATACATTGAAAATGATACCATCATCCCTCAAAGAATATTTAGGATTTCATGGTTATGATCCATATAGAAAAGACAAAACTGACATGAGAGGAATTTTTTATGCTAGAGGACCAAGTAAGTATTTTATTATTTATTATTTAATTGTTTCCAAGACTAAAAAATATTTGTGAATAAAAAAATATTCTTCTTTCAGACTTTAAATCAAAATTTGTCAACCCACCAGTTCAAATGACTGATCATTATAATATATTTTGTCATATTTTGGGAATTGAACCTATACCTAATAATGGATCTTGGGACAGAGTTAAAGACATGATATACAATAATGGATATTCAGCTTCAAATAATCCTTTATTAATTTTGTTGACTATAGGAGGCATAATGTTTATATATAATTTGCTGTAATAATCAAAGCTGTAATTAATTGGACTGTTTTTCACTACTATTAATAATTACATAAAGTAATTTGACACTAGATGTAGGCATTAGGTGCCATCTCTTATTAAATTTAATAATTATAATTAAATTAATATTTATTAAATAATTTAGAATATTCTGGAAGAAAAAAATTAGTCCAGATTGGTACTCAAATCTTCAATCCCACTTACTGTATGGATGCATTGCCAATTATGCTACTCAGACCTGTGTGTGACTTTTTGCTTTCAGACATTTAATTTTGGATATAACCATCCATGGTGGGTGTAATATAAACATTCTAGGCCATGGGTATAGGAGTTGTTCCCAGTTAACGCCATGAATAATACTTCACACTCAAGAACCTTAAGAGTCCAGTAATAACACTTTAATGGAAACTAACATTTTTGACTGTACCTCGGTCTTCTCAGGTTTTTAAAACCAGTAAGATTTGAACTTGGAATGCAAAGAACAATATTTACAAATTATTAAAAAAAAAAAATATGGAACATGTTCAAAAATTATTTTAAAATCTATGGAACAATCTAAGCACATGTAGACAACTTTTATCCATGGCGATAGAACTATATCAATACCATAAACAGTGAATAATACGATATAAATAATGTTAAATAATAACTCAGTGAACCAATATAATGAACTGGTAGAAAATTCAATGCATCAAAAACAGGTTTGAAGAGTTAATGAAATATTTTCATGCTGCAGATAATAAAGAAAAAGGTTGCTAATTGCTGGTGTTACCCATTTTAAAGACTGGACTCTTAAGGTTCTTGAGTGTGAAGTATACATTCCAGTAATTCTGTAAGAATTACTGGAATGTATACTTCACACTCAAGAACCTTAAGAATTGTTTTAATGCCATGAATAATAGTGGATGGTTTCAAGAATTGGTCAAAAGTGGGATTTGAATCAGCTGCAGACAAATTCATTTCTTCCAGAATATTCTAAATTATTTAATAAATATTAATTTAATTATAGTTATTAAATTTAATAAGAGATGATAACTAACACCTACCTCCAGTGCCAAATTATTTAGAATTTAATTATTAACAGCAGAGAAAAATAGTCTGATTAATTATGCTGGTCATTTGGCTTTGATTAATAACATCAAGCTTAGAGATGTTTAGAGAATCAAGCAAACAGAACAATGTCGATCAGCAGCAGATTAGCAACAGAACAATGCCAACTGTAAATTTTAACAAAAAATAATAAATACTATTTTTTGTACTGAGATTTGATTTTTATGTCTCTTAAAATTAATTATTTTATAAACAATTTCTTAAATTTAAGCTCAAAAATAAGTAAATATAGAAATTATATTTAGATAGTTTTTGAATTTACACTGATAATAGAAATTATGATTTAAAACAAAAGAAGAATCAAAATATTTGCAACCATTGGGACAAGAGTTGTTCAGGAATTATTCTATTATGTGAGTTGATAAGTTTGAACCCAATGTGGATATTCTTTAGTGCTATATCCCACTTGATTCTGGAATTTGTAACATTGTAACGAGTATCTAGAAATAACCTCAAGACAGTTGGGCAATTATAGTATATATGAATGAATCATTCTTGAAGTTTTCAAATGCTTATTTATGGTATGTATCCATTAATGAAAATAATTATAAAATATTTATTTATTTTCTTTAAAAAATAAAAACACATTAAAAAATATATCTAAATCAATCACAAGGAATGATTATGCTGTAAATATTGCACAAACTTCTTGAATAAATTCAGAAATTTTTAGATATTCTGTAATTTACAATTGTACAGCTGGAAGAAGTTTTCCACTACAAGAACCAAATCCAATTCGAAAATTATTGGCTTGGCAATAGCCTGGAAAAAGAAACACAAATATGAAATATATCCTTAAAATAAATAAACCTAAAATTAATATATTGTAATTATATTATTTATGAACCATTTATGAAGTAATAAATGTTCTTTGAATGAAAAGTTTTTTCTCCAAACTTAATTTTTTATGATATACAGTAGAACCTCGATTATCCGGACCTCTATTATCCGGATTTTCGATTATCCAGATTGTTCAAAATAAAAATTTTACGAATTTGATGATTTGCACTTGGCGAATTACGACACTGTT